GATGACAACACCATTTACGTCTAGTAAACTGCATTTGAGAAATTCGTGTGTAATGTAAAAAACAAAAACTTCTCTACAAGCCCTCAAAATTCAGATCCCCATGTAGGTGACACTCCACTCTTGAAATTAATATTCTATCTACCCAATTGGAGGGGATAAGGATGACAAATCTCAGCTAATACAATTTAAGGGAAGAAGAGTATGAAATGTGATGGTGCTCCCTACCCCTCAACACATTTAGATTATCATCTCAGTACTTGTAATTACAGGACACTAACCAGTTAGCCTTAGTTCTCACTACAACATCCAAAAAGATAGTTTGTTCAGCCTGAGGCTTAAGTATTTCTGATCATTGAGAGGGGGTTGGCAGAGAGGTCACTTGGCTCAGCCTGAGTCCACGAAAGTTCTCAAAGATTGTGGACTCCAAATGAAGTCATCCACATGGCCACTGAAACGCACTGACAGGGCTGGAAGAAGATGTTCAACCATAAATTAAATCTAGATCCATCTGTCTATCTCCATGCCTATAGAGGCTCTATGATTTGATGTTCATTTTAAATCCTGAAATTGTAAACTCTTGCAAACAGCACAGTTAGACTGCTTTGTATTTTTATGTGTTGGTCATATTGATTTATTATATGTAAACATTTATAATTTGCCACCATTTCCCCCTATTTGGGTCTTTCTTTATATTAAAAAAAAAAAAAATCTCAAAAGAACGTGGAAGGATCCAATGCCTTGCTCAACCGCCCAGGGCCCCTCTCTCCCATCTCTGGAAAAAACTGATTCCTTCATCAGTAGGCTGGATGTCAGAAAAGTCCTCTTGATGTGGAGCTAAAGTCACTTCCCTGATAGTTTCATGATGGTCTTGAATCTGATCTCCAAGGCTGCCTGGAACGAGTGTGTACCATCTGGTCCCTGAGTGTGTCTCAGAGACTGACTTTGCCTCCTTCCCCAGTTGTCAAGCAGGCAGTCAAAGCCCCAGAAAAAAAACCAGTCTTTTCATGACTTGGAGCACTCTGAGCTATAACATAAATGTGCTTGACCTGCCTCAAGGGTTTAGGCAAACACAGGGTAGGATACATATTCTCCGAAAGGGAGCCCTCTTGAGTAGAAAGCACCAAGGCTCCCGGAATCAAGCCTGAACCTGAACTACTCATTTGTTCTCATTCTCCCAGGACTCAGTTCCATCCTCAGTGGATCCCTCAGTAGGAGGGGGCTCCCAAGCCTGAAATGCACTTATGAAAAGCACAAGGGACAGGCACTAATGTCCAGGGAGAAGGTGCTAGTGCACTGGCCAAGACTAGGTAGGATAGAGCTAAGGTGCCTGTCTGGTTGGGCCACTAAGGTACAGACAAAGAGGGGGACAAAGTCAAAAGAAAGCACAGAGACACTGCTAGCTCATAAAGTGCCTTTGTGCACATTTGAAAAGGGTGCCCTCTCTAGAAAGATGCAACCCTGTGTCAAGGCAATGGCTTAGCAGATGGTGAAGAGGTGCTAGGTGTTTACCCCCACTTGCCCCCTCTGCCAGGTACCCTTGTGCAGTGAACCACTGGAAAAACTGCAAATGTCTGTCTGGCTAAGAGAGAGCAGCAGGAGGAAGAGACAAGCAGGAGGAAGAAGAGACAAACAGGAAGAAGAAAGGTCATCGTGGCCATTCAAAGCCCACCACAATTGCTCCCTAGTCTCTTCCTACAGGGCCTCCACAGAAGCTTTAACCAGAATAGCCCCCATATTGCCTCCGCAGGCATTCCCATCCCTCTCTGATTGTCTATTCACGTTTCACACATCCTTCTGAAGCACCCCTCTGCCAGGAAGACTTCCTTAACTGCTTCCCCCTTTTCTTTGAAGGATGCATGGTGCTCTTCAGATCTGCTCCCTTAGTGGACCCTAGCACTTCTTTGGGCCAGTGGCTGGTCATCTTTCTTTGGCTATATCTCCCCTCCCCTGAGATTATAGGTCCTTAAGCACAGGGTAGCAGGCAATAGGCTCTTAGAGTGTATTTGTTGATGGGTTGTGATGAAAGAACATGGCATAGGGGCTAAAAGGACTCCTGAGTCTGACCCTCATTTGAACCCCAGTGACCCCTGCTGTAACCCAACAGCCTCTCCATCTTCAGTCTCCCATGTCTGAGGTACAGTGAGTGGATGAATAATCTCCAAGGATTCTGCTAGCACTGAATTCTAGGCTTATAAGACTTAGCATCCATGGCCCCCATCACCCAGGGTTTCATCCCATCACCCCAGGATGTAGTACAATGCCTGGCCTAAACCAGGCACCCAATGTGGGATATATATATATATATATATATATATATATATATATATATATATACACACACACACACACACAAATACTTTTATACTATGTGTGTGTCTGTCTGTCTATCTATCTATCTATCTATCTATCTATCTAAACAAACTCACTGCCATTGTGTCAACTCGACTCATAGCAACCCCACCTTGGGTTTCCAAGGCAGTATCTCTACGGAAGTTTATTGCCCAATCTTCCTTCCAAGGAGTTGCTGGTGGGTTTGAACCACCTTCTTAGTGGTCAAATGCCTTAGGCACAGGTTGCCTAAAAAACAAACAAACAAAACACCAAGAAGTATTAGTCTCTATACTCACAGTCACCAAACCTGGCCAACTCAAGCAAGAAAGACCTACTAGAAAAAGACTCAGACAGCAGGCAAGGGATAGATCAGAACCACAGCTGAAAGTAGGCTCTGGGAAGAGTTTGATCAGGATACCCGCTCACCCCCACCCACCCACCCGCCACCTCTTCCACCACTGGCCAATGGTCTTCTGGGTCACTACCATGACACAAAGGAACTATGAACGCTCACCTGCTCAGAACCATGGGGTATCTATTGGCTGCACTTAAGTCACATTGTTGTTGTTGTTGTTTGCCATCAAGTGGCCCCGACTCATAGCGACACCTCCTTGGGTTTCCAAGGCAGTATCACTACGGAAGTAGGAATGCCCAACCTTCCTTCCGAGGAGTGGCTGGTGGGTTTGAACCACCAGCCTTCTGGTTAGCAGTCAAATGCCTTAGGCACTATGCTACCAGAGCTCCCTTAAGTCACATTGGCACATCTTAATAGCCAAGAATTGGGGGAGGGGGCCATTCATGCATTCAGCGGGAAGGTTTTTCAGGTACTAGGCAGCCAAGAAACTGACAAATGACCCTGTTCCCTGGCTAAATAAATTCTCTCCTCTGGGGATTTAGCAAAGGGCCCAAAGATGTCATCAACTCAATGCTGGTGGGAGTGCACGAGGCCGTGAGAAAGCTGCAGCAGGGAGAGAAGCAGGCAAGAAGCTGAGTGAGGACTCCTGGACTCTACTGGCTCATACAAGTCTCCCCAGCCCTTGAGTTCCTGGAGATGCCTCAGGATCCCTTTCTTGATTAAGCTAGTTGAGGTTTCTGTGAATTCCAACAAGCCTAAAGCCCTTATAGGACTGTGTCCTACCTTCCCCCAGGTTGGGGGTACATGCAGGGTGCAAAGCCGCTGTGTGTGTGTGTGTGTGTGTGTGTGGAGGGGTGCTAGGCAAAGCCCACTGAGCCAGAAGGCAAATACTGGCTAGTCAGCCAAGGTGGGCACAGCCTCCCCTCTCTGGACAGCACCCCTCCAGAAAAGGACAGGTGTCTCAAGTGGGGTCCTCTGAAAACAGCAGCCCAAGCAGCAGGCCTGAAGCCACACCACCCAGATGTTGTCATGGGGAGGTCGCTGGAACTTTGCTACAAAGGGTTAGTTTTCCCCCCCCCCCCCAACATCCCCATAATCTGGTGCTGCTTCTTAATGACTATTTTCTCCTAAATACAAAATTGTAGTCTTTTGCTCCAGACCACGGGTTAGTGACCAGAGAGCAAAGACTCTTGACACGCAGAATAAAGATCTTTTGCTAGCACAGGTGAGTTCACAGCACTGAGGGGGAGAACTGCTCTCCTGAGTGTTTGTCTCGCTTCGAGGTCCCACCCTGGTGCCCTCACTTGCCAGCAGTTCCGGTGGGCTGCGGAGGCTGCAAGCGCCACTCGGAGAGACTCAGCGCAAGGACAGAGAGATTCCAGAGGCCAAGGTCTCAGGGGACTCCCTGACTAGAGAGAATTCGCATCTGTTAATTTGTCTCCCGCAACGCTGCAGGGGGAGGGGCCAGTCAATCCTCAACCTGGGAAATCACGGGACACTATTTTTCTTGCAGGCACCTCCTCACGTGAAGGTCAGCAGATTCATTTTCATTTCTTCACCAACCCGGGCGGAGCAGAGATGTCTATCCTCGCACTCTGCTTGGTGGCCCTCGCCCAGCTACTTTTTCATCTGTTCGGATTTGGGTTTACCCAACCCATAGCGCTGCATTTCGCAACCATTTATCCGGCGCTCTGTTACAAAAAAAGTCGAGGCAAGTGCACCACGACCTTAATCTTATACGATTCTCAACAGGGTAGAGCTGTGTCCCACTTTACAGAAGGGAAAACTGAGGCTCAGAGAGGTTAAATCGGTTGCCCAAAGTCACGCGTCCATCCCGTAGCTGGAGTGTGGATGCGTACCCAGAGTCCGAATCAGCCGGAGGTTTCCACAACTAACTGCGCGGCTCACACTCGCCTGCCAATGCCCCGCCTCCCCATCCCCACCTCAGCAAGGGGCGCTCGGCCTGTCCCCGGAGGAGCGTGCCTCCGCGGCTAATCGCCCGCCACCCCCGCCTCCGTTTCACAGTCTCTAGAAGCCCCAGCCGGCTTAGCCCGGAGACTGCTCCCGGGGCCCCGCGGCGCCGCCGATTGGCGGACGGTAATTACGGGCACGCTCCAGGAGGGGGGGGGAGGGGCGAGGACGGGCCCCCCCGCGAGCATAAATTATGCAAATACTCGGGAGCCGCACGGGGCTGACCTGCCGCCTAGTTCCATTCACCCCGGCTGCCGTGGGGGCGGAGGTGGCAAGGGAGGGGGGGCGTCCATTGTTGCGCGGGGTACTTAAGGGGTCCTGAGGCCGGTCGTGTGCCACACTCGGTGCTCACACGAGCTGATCTGATCGCCGGCAAGATCACTCAGGAGACCCGCCGGGCGCGTGGCCCCTGCAGGCGAGGCGAGCAGGCGAAGCCAAGTTCCCAGTGCACCCCTGCGCCCTTCCACGCTATAGCGGCCGCATCGCGCACACAGTAGCCTTGGGCAGTTCAGAACGTAAGTGCGCCCCGGCAGCCCTGCCCTCATTCCGGACTTCTGCCCTCTAAGCACCCTCCCTTCGGTCCGTGCTTGCGTCGGTCCTGCACAGCGCAGCGATGCCCGCCTCTTTGGAGACCTGCCTTTCAGACCTCGACTGCTCTACCAGTAGCAGCAGCAGCAGCGACCTGTCCGGCTTCCTCACAGACGAGGAGGACTGTGCCAGGCTCCAGCGGCCAGCCTCCGCCTCGGGGCCGCCCGTGCCGCCGCTCAGAGGCGCGCCGGGGATCACTGGGGCGCTGGATGCCCCAGGGGCGCAAGATGAAGAGCAGGAGAGGCGGCGGCGCCGGGGCCGGGCGCGGGTGCGCTCCGAGGCGCTACTACACTCTTTACGCAGGAGCCGGCGCGTCAAGGCAAATGATCGCGAGCGCAATCGCATGCACAACTTGAACGCCGCGCTGGATGCGCTGCGCAGCGTGCTGCCCTCCTTTCCCGACGACACCAAGCTCACCAAGATCGAGACGCTACGCTTCGCTTACAACTACATCTGGGCTCTGGCCGAGACACTGCGCCTCGCAGACCAGGGACTGCCCGGAGCCAGTGCCCGGGAGCGCCTTCTGCCGCCCCAGTGCGCCCCCTGCCTGCCAGGGCCCCCGAGCCCTGCCAGCGACGCCGAGTCCTGGGGCTCAGGCGCCGCAGCCACCTCGCCACTCTCCGACCCCAGTAGCCCCGCCGCTTCCGAAGACTTCGCCTACGGTCCTGGCGATCCCCTTTTCTCCTTCCCTGGCCTGTCCAAAGACTTGCTCCACACGACATCCTGTTTCGTCCCCTACCACTAGGCCCTTTACTTGACACTGTTACCTTCCCCCTTCCTTGTCTACAGTCAGTAGATGGGGCCCTAGCTGTAGCTTCGGGACCCCCAATCCTGGAGGAGGGAGGAGGCGGGAGCTTTAAAAGACTGGAGGATACCTGAGCCGCTTGTTAGGTCGCTGCACCCTCATTGACGCTGCCTCTTGGTCTGTTTCTCCAGCCCTCAGCATTGGGCCCCTCCTGCCCGCCCCTAGACGGCCTTTTTCCTTTCGCACTTTCTGAACTCCACAAAACCTCCTTTGTGGCTGGCTCAGAGCTGACCCCAGCCACCACTTCAGTGTGATTTAGAAAAGGGACAGATCAGCCCCTGAAGACGAGGTGAAAAGTCAATTTTACAATTTGTAGAACTCTAATGAAGAAAAACGAGCATGAAAATTCGGTTTGAGCCGGCTGACAATACAATGAAAAGGCTTAAAAAGGAGAGACAAGGAGTGGGCTTCATGCATTATGGATTCCAGGCCCCACCACTGCAGGCTCGCTCTAGGAAGAGCTCCAGACTATTCCGTTGCTATTCAGGCCGGGGCTGGAGAGTACTTTAATTTATTCAAGATACTTCATTCATATGAAAATGTATTTTTGTACATAAAGAGTTTATTCTATTATTATGAGCTATCAAAGTTTACATTTTTGTACTGCAGATGCTTCATGTAAATAAAAACTAAAAAAAAAAAAAAAAACTAACCAAGTTTCTTGCCTAATGTCAATGTCTCTGGGGATTTTCGTCTACCTCCTCTTTACCCTTCCTCTCCACCACTCAACAACTAAAGTGAAACAGTATCCCCAACCCACGCCAATCCCCTCAATGCTGTTTAAAAACAATTTTAAAATAAAACACACCTGATTTCCAGCAAGAAACGGATAAAGGCCAACCAGGGCATTTGGGGACCCATCATTTCCTTTCACCTTGTAAACACAAGACGGATCTTTGAGGCTCCCCATAAGCCAATTAAGACTTTTTAGTGGGGAATTAGCCCCGTATGCACAGCTACCTGTAGAGGTAGGGGCGGTGGGTCTTTCTTTTAGGGAACTCCACATCAGCTGGCTCTGTGTTTCATAGAAAGAGAGGGGATTAAAAGGATCAATACAGTGTGACCACTGGCTAGGAAGTCCCAGTGACAGGTGGGCCCAGACTAGGCAAGCAGAAGGATCCACTCTTATAACAGCCTATTTAGGGGAGGAGGGAAATTGATTTGTAAACAATGACTCTAAATTGTGGTCCATTGAGGCTGGATTCACCCTGGCTGTGAGACTCGCCATGAATTATGTGTGGTGTCCCTGGGTGGGGTATGCAGCTGCCTAAAATTGTGAGCTAGGGTGCCTGCACTCCCCCAAACACTTACACCCACTAGGCCCACAGTGGGAGGGGAGGGGACACATGCTGAGAACCCCAGTGCCTGGCTTATTAAGCAGTCCTCAGGAAGCAATCACCAAAGCTTTCATTTGCTGCCAGAGAAATCAGCTGGCCAAATTCATTGGGGATTTTTCTGGCTGCAGTGTGTTTATCTGTTGTCTGACAATTACCCGACAACACTAGCCAGTAGCAGCCTTTGTTTTAAATTTCAGAATGTGGTTAATTACAAGCAATACTTCCTAAAATGCTGTTACTGCCTGCTCACAAGTTACCCCACACTTTGACCATTTTTTTTTTCCACTGAGATTCTCCTTTTCATGCATATAATGATTTAGGGGCAGGGGTAGGTAGGAATAGGTCCAAGAAAATAGTATTCTATAGTATTAGAGAAATTATATCCATTAGGAGGTAAATAGAAGCAGAGGACCAGAAGTAAGACCATTGATAGTATGCTCCCATTGTGGAAGCATTTCCCTCCTCACGCACATAAGCCTGGTGACTCAGATCTACATATCCATATGCTGGGTCCCCAGAAGACATCATCAAATCCAGCCTTGGGCAAAGAGCTCTTCAGCTAAAAAGGATCCTTTGCAGAAGTTTCTAAAAAGTTGGATGTCTTCTCTTACTGCTCCCAGAGCAGAGACAAAGAAGCCTCACAAGAAAAGCTTCCAAGTTTCAAGAGTCTGAACAGAATCATTTCTGCTAAAAACACCCAGAAAAATAGTTGCGTTTTAGAATTGACACTTCTGGGCCTCAACCTCCCTGCCTCTACCCCATCCCCATCCCACTGTATGTCACAGAATGAATTTGCTCTACCAGGTTTGCGTTTTCCTTCAGCAAAAGACACAAACGGCCTGCATCAGGTTTTCTGCCCTCTCACCCACAGCATGCTTGAGGCAGAGGCAGATTACCCAATAAGCAAGGTAAGCACAGGCTTACTTGTTCTTATTTACTAATCTGTAGTTTCACACATGTGAATCTGTGCACTACAGATTAGTAAGTAAGCACATGTAACTGTGCTTACCTTGTTTACCAGGTACTTTGTTCCTGTCAAAAACAAACACACTCACTGCCGTCAAGTCAGTCCCAACTCATAGCAACCCCTCCTTGGGTTTCCAAGGCGTTATCTCTATGGAAGTAGATTGCCCAACCTTCCTTCCAAGGAGTGGTTGATGGGTTTGAACCATCAGCCTTCTGGTTAGCAGTCAAATGCCTTAGGCACTACAACACCAGAGCCCCTTCATTCCTGTCAGGGATTATAAATTTGAAAAGAGGCTTTGATTCTGTAGGAAGATACAGTAGAGTTGGGAGAGAGTCAGATGGCAGGCATACCTAGAAGCAGAATCTCTGAAGCGGTGAAGAAGTGTGAAATTGTTCACTACAGATTAGTAAGTAAGCACAAGTAAACCTGTGCTTACCTTGCTAATTGGGTAATCTACCCCTGCATGGAACTGTCTCCTTTCAGCTTTCTGAGGGGCTCAAGCCAAATCTGCAAGAAAGGCAGGTCCCCTACAGGTCCTCTGTTCAGATGTGATGTCGGTCCACGTGTCTGGGATGGAAAAGAACAGTCCATTATGTTTATTTAAGCCACCAGCAAACAAATATCTCGGAACATCCCGGGGCATCCTGGAATTCTGGCTGGAGTAGGAGATTTGCTTCACACAGCTGCATACTTAGGGCTTTGAAAACAGGAGGAAACTTCATTATCATTGTCATGGACTGAATTGTATCCCCCCAAAATATGTGTCTATTTGACTAGTCCATGATTGCCAGTATTGTATGATTATCTTCCATTTTGTGATGTGTTGTAAATCCAAGCTTCTGTTTATGGTTAATGAGCAGGATTAGGTTATGTTAAAAAGGATTAGGTTCTGTTTGTTATGTTAATGAGGCAGGTTGCATTATCCTTACTTAAATCACCACTCTTACTCAGGTCACAACCCTGATCCATAGTAAGAGGAGTTTCTTGAGGTGTGGCCTGCTTCTCCTTTCATCTTTGGAGAGAGAAAAGGGAGAGAGAATCAAGCAGGGTGAGAGACCTGACTACCACCCAGAAAGAAGAGCCAGGAGCAGTGTGTTTCCTTTGGACCTGGGGTCACTGCACTGAGAACCTCCTAGACTCAGAGGACAACTGATGCCAAGACACATGGAGATCTCCAAAGAATGACAGAGCCTATCTATGCTGAAAGGAGGCAAAGACCTTCCCCCAGAGCTGACAGAGAAAGAAAGCCTTCCAGAACTGGCACCCTGAATTCAGAGTTCTATCTTCCTAAGCTCTGAGAGGGAAGCTCTGGTAGCATAGTGCCTAAAGCACTTGACTGCTAATCAGAAGGCTGGCAGTTCAACCCCCCCAGCCACTCCTCAGAAGGAAGGTTGGGCAATCTACTTCTGTAGTGATACCGCCTCAGAAACCCAAGGAGGGGTCTCTATGAGTCGGGTCTGACTCAACAGCACACAACAACAACAACAACAAGCTCTGAGAGAATACATTTCTGTTTTTTAAAGCCACCTATTTGTGGTACTTCTGCTATAGCAGCACTGGATAACTAAGACAATCACCAAAACCAAAGAATAGCAAATTGTATTTCCAACTGTGTCACCATAATAGGCTGACAATCCTAGCTTCAGGATGCAGAGCACCTTTCAAAAAAGAAAGATTTTTAACATCAATTGCTGGGAGCATCTCCACCCCTGCCAGTTAATACTATCCTTCCAAGGAAGCAAGCTGTGTATACCTTGAAGCTCTCAAATAGGAGGAAAGAAGGAAGGTGATTCCAAATGTTTTTCCCCAGCTCAGAGGTCTATTGTTCCCTGCTACAAACTCCCATTCATCCATTGAGATCTGTGAAGGCAGGGCTGGTGTTACTAAAACATTCTAATAATTTCTAGAATTAAGAACTTCTCCACTGGCAGACATGTTTCACTCTACTCAACAGAGTTTTCCACTAAGGTATCAGAGGCACTTGACTGCTAACCAGGAGGCTGGTGGTTCAAACCCACCAGCCATTCCTTGGAAGGAAGGTTGGATAATCTACTGTAGTGATACCACCTTGGAAACCCAAGGAGGGGTCGCTATGAATCAGGTCTGACTCGACAGCACATAACAACAACAACAAGATATCAGAAGGCATTTAAGAAGATGAGTTACTCTCTACCATGATCTCTTTATTTGTTTTGGACCTAATATAGCATCTATACCTTATATAAATTGTTTCCAAGTCTTTGAGAAATGAGGGAAGGGAATCATAGCATGGAGTAGGAAAATGAAGCATTTCATTCATTTTCTCATTTCTCTAACCTCTTCTTATCAAGTCTCTGTTATGTGTTGAATGACATTTTGGCATTGGGGTAACCAAGACAAAATCCCTGTCTAACAGGAGCTTAAATTCTGATGGGGAAAGACATAAAATAAATTTGTGACTGATTGTGGTAAGTGATGAAGATAAAAATAAGCCAAGATACCAGAACCGTCTGCCATCAAGTTGACTCCAACTCATGGCCGCCCTGTGTGTTACTCTGGTAGAACTGTGCTCCATAGGATTTTCAGTGGCTTGTTTTTTTGGAAGCAGATCACCAGGCCTTTCTTCCCAGGTGTCTCTGGGTAGACTTAAACCACCAACCTTACAGTTAGCAACCAAGTATGTTAGCTGTCTGCACCACCCAGGGACTCCAGCGTAAGATTTAAAAAAAAAAAAAAAAAAAAGCTATCTAGTCTATTCCGACTCATAGTGACCTCAATAGGGTTTCCAAAGGACTGCTTCGTCTTTCTCCTGTGGAGCAGCTGGTGGGTTCAAACCACTGCTGTTTTGATAGGCAGCCAAATGCCTTACCACAGTGCCACCAGAGCTCCTTCAAGGGAAGATAAGGGTGGTATAAAATGCCAGAGCAGAAAGGAGGTTGCAATTTTAGAAAAGATGGTCAAGGAAGGCTTTGAGAGGGAGTGAGCCATGCCAATATCTGGGGGAAACACACTGTAGGCAGAAGGCACAGCCAGGGGAAAGCCCTGAACATGCACAATGTATCAGTTAAACAGCAAAGGGGCCTATGGCTGGAGCAAAGGGCATGAGGGTACGAGGGCAAGGCAGGTGATGAGGAGAGAGAGATGGAGGAGGGCAAATCACAGTAAGGCTTGTAAACTATTATATGGACTTTGTTTCTTTCTCATGGTAATTGAAATAGATGAATGGGTGAATTGACTTACAGAGGCCACTCTGGCTGCTATATTAATAATATAGACTTTGGGGACCAGAGTGGACTCAGGGAAGTAACTAAGCATCTGCTCATTAGTGCTGAAGAGAGGAATATAATAATAGA